TTTTTTTTTTTTTATTTTTTTTATTCCCACACCTTCGAGGAATTAATATTTTGCTTTACCTGGTCATATGAGGGCTCACCACTTCGGAGTGGGTTTCTGAGTTGATTAACATAAAAACTTCCTTAAGTAAGATACAATATAAGAGAAGAAAGAAATTTGAAGTTATGTTTTCTAGACCTCATATACATTGATGTTTGTCAATCACCTCTTATTTTGAAAAATTGGTTTTATCATCTCTCTTGCTCCCTCTCTTTCATGCATTCACATATGCACACGCTTTCTTCATCTTTACATAGATAATATGTATACTGGCTGTCCTTACTACTTAAGCCAGTTTTAATTTTGACCCTTGAGTAAATATTTTAATAGTTTTTCAACATCTGTACAGTTCATTAAAATAAAAATACATACAAGTGGATTTGTGGTATAAAAGGTTGTAATAAATCTCATGATAGAATTCCAAGAGATGATTTCAAGTTTCTTATTTAATAAGCATTGCTGGAACATCTTAAAATGTTAAGAACAATCATGTCTGTGGGTGTATTTGCATAAAATATCATAGGGGGAAGAGAACACAAGTATCTTTTAGTATCATTAGCTCTTAATATTTTCCTGATAATTTTCTGTTTGATTTACTACCAACACTGGTTGATTGAGAAACAGATTTAGAAGCATATTACTTTCTGAACATTATGCTCTAACTTTATTGGGAGGACACTTTTCAAAAGTGTCACTGTGACTCATGCCAGGAAAATATGAAAAATATGAATTAGCAATTCTGGAATGTTAGAGGAAGACACATTTTTTTCTTTTCTATGTGACATAATGTTAGGTGTTATAAGGAGGAATTATGAAGTACATGTTTTATTTATTGTGTAGTCTTTGGTGGTTTGTCTTGCTTATAAACTAAGCTGAGCTCTTAAATATTTCCCCATGGGGTTTATTTATAATAAGCCTTGGAAACTGAGAGAGTTGGCTGGAGGAGAGAGGGAGACCTTGTTGAGGTGTTGTGTCGGCATTTCATTCCTTTTCAGAAGCGACTGTGTTCTGGCCCAAGGAATTGGAGCAGGTCCTGGTACTGTTTTGGGAAACTGCTTCAGTGTAGTGAGCTTGCATTATTTTTGATAGGTACACAGCTCCTGTGTGCAGTTCTGTTCTTCTAATTCCCATGACTCTTCCCTCCAGAAAGTTGAAGCTTGTTTAAAGCTTTGAAATACTGGTAGAAAGGTCTCTTACAGTTTGGGATTTGTGTTTCAGAACTGTTCTGTTGTAACGGGGATATTGTAATGGTGTGCTAGAGAGATAAGCGGATACCATTGCTATTGTGAAAGCAAATCCCTCCTAAAAGATTAAACCCCGACCAGGTGTAACGCAGTTCTTGTGTGGAGGTTTGAGACATCAGCCCTTATTTTATTTAAGGCACAATTGACATGCTTGAGGAAGAGAACGTGTAAATTGCCATTAGAAATGCACACATAACCCGGTTGTGTGCCAGCTTCCTGGTTTATGCAATATGGAGCCGAACAGAAAGCTCACCCTAGCCCGACTTCAAAAGGTTGGGAAGGACACTGGCTCTGTACTGCAGCTGCGGAGCTGAAGCATAGTAGACTTCTACTGAAGGTGCCAAGTGCATGCGAGTTAGTGTCTGCTTTGTGGGGCGGAGAGGCTGGTGTGTGCGCAAGGCTGTAGGGATGGAGGTGGCCCTGTCCTTTGATATACCTGTCATACAGTAAATATCTTTTGAGAATGTGTATGAAAAGAGAACACGCCTTCGTCTTCTGGGGAGTTTAGAAGTCTCTTCTGCAAAGAAGCAGAAGGCTGCTCACCAGTCTTATGCGGAGCGGCGGAGGGAACTGGGGTTGTTCAGTCTGGAGACAGGGAGGCTGAGGGGAGGGAGACCTCATCGCGCTCTGCAGCTTCCCGAAAATGGGTTGTAGTGAGGTGGGTGTCGGTCTCTTCTCCTGAGTGACAAGTGATAGAACAAGAGGAAATGGCTTCAGATTGTGCCAGGGGAGGTTTAGAATGGATATTAGGAAAAATGTCTTTGCCAAAAGGGTTGTCAAGCATTGGAACAGGCTGCCCAGGGAAGTGGTGGAGTCACCATCCCTGGAGGTGTTTAAAAGACCTGTCGACATGGCACTTGGGGACATGGTTTAGTGTTGCACTTGGCAGTGTTAGGTTAACGGTTGGACTTGATGATCTTAAAGGTCTTTTTCAACCTAAATGATTCTATGATTCTATTCTATGACATAAGAGACGTAGCTCACCTTCAAATAAAGCTCAGTCCTGCAATTTTTCTTCAATTAACAAAATCCAGAATTTTTAAAAACAACTTCCAATCAAACATCAGATTGACAATAAAAGTATGAGGCAGCTTTTTATAGTTAAGTGTATAGTTTTGTATATTAGATATATGAATTCTAGATAGATAGATTAGATAATAGATGTATGAAAGAGGTAAATAATCTTGACTCATGCCCTGTGAAGAATGCATAATGAGCTCTTGATTGAATCAAATTCATTTTAGACAGGAATTAATTTTTATAGGGTAGTCTTTAGGTTCAATTGTAATTCCATTTGAGTCTGGAGACCATAGCAGAAATGGGTTGTTGCCCATTCTTTCCTTTCCCCAAAACAGCTTCCTGAGTACTGCATCTCAGCTTGGTAGAAGAAGAATATGTTTAGAAATGCATTACTGTTTTTATTGGTCAGGACGCTAATGGAGGTCTTCCATGACAGCTATGTTTTATAAGCTGAATACTCTAATTAGGCTGGTTACCGATCAGTTGTTGGGATATTGATTGTGTCATTTATCAAAGAGCTGGAAAAGCAGATCTGTTGTTGCTGTTAATTTAAGACTCCCTGTCCCACTGGGTACAAGTCCCCAGTGTAGTAGCAGTTTGGACGTTGCAAGGCTTAATTTAGCTAGCAGTATCTATGAGAAAGTAGTAAGTGTGGACCTCATGATATAAGGAATCTTACCTAAACTAACATATTTCTAAGGTAACAAGAAGAAACATAGTTGTCAGTGGCTTTGGCGTGTGGGTTTCTGTACTGAGGTTCAAAATAACCTTTTCAAATGACTCACGCTGCACAGGGAAGGAGAGAATGTGGCATGTACAGCCTGTCCACTGAGACTCCATTTGTAGCCATGTTGTCACATGACCATCCCACCATTGATTTGTGTTCTGGGGTGCATTTTTCGCTCTTATGGAATCATTTTTTATTGTTGTTATACTATAATTGTAATTACTAAGCTTGAGAGGCAGGTTGCAAGGTGATGTAACACATCAGTGTCCTTACACACTGGTTTGCAGGCAATCATTTGCCAACGCATTAAACTCACATCATGTTACAAAGATATCACATGGGTTAGATACGTACATTTCTTCTGTGGATGTGACTATGAAATTTAAGGAATGATGTATTTATTGTAACATTTGCTGGCATGATGAACATGCACTTTAAAAATAGAAGCCAGTTGGAGGCCCCTTCAAGAAACAGATATAAAATCACAGAAACTATAAAGGTTATTTTGAAAACTAGCCACAATATTCCCCTGTGTGGGTTTTCTGTTTTCACTGAATAACAAGTACAGAAACGTCTTTCTGGGTCTGTCCCAGTTTTAGAAACTGTGATTTTAAATTTTTTTTTCCCCCTTTTTTTCTTTTGAGCAACTGCTCAGGAGAATAAATTAGGCGATATGGCATGTATGAGGGGGG